CTAGAGTTATGGCCCTTGTTTCACTTTATTGAACCTTGTGAACGCTCTAATGCCAAAAGTTAACATCCGATCTTTGTGAAATTTATATGCACTATTTGAATTAGGGAAATGAAGAAGCCTATTGAATTTCAGTAATTTCCGTTTATCACTTCTAGAGTTATGGCCTTTGTTTCACTTTGTTTAACCTTGTGAATGCTGTAACCCCAAAAGTTATTATCCTATCTTTCTGAAATTTATATGCATTATTTAAATTAGTGAAACAAAAAATCTATTGAATTTTAGCAATTTCCATTTATTACTTCTAGAGTTATGGACGTTGTTTCACTTTGTTTAACCTTGTGAACGCTCTAACCCCAAAAGTTATCATCCTATCTTTCTGAAATTTATATGCATTATTTAAATTAGTGAAACGAAGAAGCCTATTGAATTTTAGCAATTTCCGTTTATTACTTCTAGAGTTATGGACGTTGTTTCACTTTATTCAACCTTGTGAACGCTCTAACCCCAAAAGTTATCATCCTATCTTTCCGAAATTTATATGCATTATTTAGATTAGTGAAATGAAGAAGCCTATTGAATATCAGCAATTTCTGTATATTACGTCTAGAGTTATGGCCCTTGTTTCACTTTATTAAACCTTGTGAACGCTCTAATGCCAAAAGTTATCATCCTATCTCTCTGAAATGTATATGCATTAATTTAAATTAGTGAAACGAAGAAGGCTATTGAATTTCAGCAGTTTCTGTGTATTATGTCTAGAGTTATGGCCCTTGTTTCACTTTATTAAACCTTGTGAACGCTCTAATGCCAAAAGTTATCATCCAATCTTTCTGAAATTTATATGCATTATTCAAATTAGCGAAATGAAGAAACTTATTGAATTTCAGCAATTTCTGTTTATTACGTTATGGCCCTTGTTTCACGTTATTGAACTTTGTGAATGCTCTAACATCAAAAGTTATCTGCCGATCTGTATGAAATTTACATGTGTCATTTAAATTAGTAAGGAGAAGAATCCTATGGAATTTCAGCAATTTCCGTTTATTACTTCTAGAGTTATTTCACTTTGTTCAACCTTGTTAATGCTCAATTGATGAAAGTTATCATCCGATATGTATGAAATTTATATGCAACAATTTCTGTAGATTACTTCCAGAGTTGAGACCCTTGTTTCAATATGTAGAACCTTGTGAACCCTCAAACGGCAAAAATTATAATCTGATCTGTATCTGTTACACCATAGTGAAGGTTGACTTTGAAAAATCGCGTTTTTAGCTTGTGGTCCCTCGAGAGGTCACGATTTTTATTCGATTTAAAAAAACAGTTTTAGTATATCACCGCTACACTCTAATGATGGTTGAGCTCGAAGTTTGTGAAAATCGGACCAAAACTGCTGGACAAAATGGCCGCCGCTTGTATGTGAATAGTGTAAAAATATGATATATCAAGGTTGTGGACCCTGTAGAGATCACAATTTTAATCCGATTTTGATGAAACTTGAAATGCATATTTATAACCCAAAGAGCTTGGGTCCTTGAGATTTGCACATATCGGATCGTAACTTTCTGAATTATGGCCCTCGATTGTACACAAAATCACATTTTTAGCTCTTTCTCCCTCTAGAGCTAACAATTTTTATCCGATTTAAAAAAATCGTTTGAATATATCATCATCAAACTGTAATGGCTGAATTATTGCCCTTGATGGTACGAAAAATCGCTTTTTTAGCTTGTGGTCCCTCTAAAGCTCTCAATTTTTATCCAATTTAAAAAAAACGTTTTAATATATCATCGTTACATGGTTGAGTTAGAATTTCCTGAAAATCAGACCAAAACTTACGGACAAAATGGCCACCCTACGTACACAAATAGTGTAAATATATGGTATATCAAGATTGTGGACCATCTAGAAGATACAATTCTGATCCGATTTTTATGAAACTTGAAATATATCTTTATAACTCAAAGATCTTGGTTCCTGTCGATATACGTGCATATCGGATCGTAACTTCCTGAATTATGGACCTTGGTTGTACGAATAATCGCTTTTTTTAAAACTTGTTCTCTATCCATCTCTTGAAAATTTTGGCGTATCCTGCCTGGGAGCCGCTGGTTAAACAAGGATTTGATGTTTAAAATAAATGTGAAAGAAATTAGTGCTAAATACACAAGATTAAATGATAACTGGATTACGGTGTAATATCAGGGAGCAAATTAGTAAGCAACTTTGAATAAATAATTTTCCAAGCCATAGCTGTAAAGCCCAAGAAAGAAGTCGAAATCCCCTTGATGTAAACCTGAATATTAATATAACAAGGCCCACTTGCTGAAATGGTTAAACTGTTGCAGCTACGATCGCCGGCCACAAACCCTTCGCGTTTTTGTGAAGAATTAAACATTGACCTCAAAGTTGTAGCACTCATCTGCTATATTCCTGTAAAGTTTAATGCAGATCCATTGAATAGTTTGCTGAAATGGTTAAACTGTTGCAGCTACGATCGCCGGCCACAAACCCTTCGCGTTTTCATGAAGAATTTAACATTGACCTCAAAGTTGTAGCACTCGTCTGCTATATTCCTGTAAAGTTTGATGCAGATCCATTGAAAAGCTTAGGAGATATGTCCACTTATACTTCCAAGGGTGCCATTTGTAATTAAAGAAAAAGTCCAAAATCAGTTGTATACTGATTTTTAAACCCCATCAGTAGAAAAGCATATTAAACTTTGCCCTTTGACCCCTTACCTTGCCTAAATAGGTCGAAGTCATCATGACATAAATTGGATTACTGTGTGACATCAATGCACCAGTAAAAGTTTTATATTCAAATTGGGAAACACATCTAGGAAACTAAAAAAAATCTGTTAATGGGTTACCATAGCAACCAAAACGCCAGGAGCACAATTAGATCATAAGTCTGACAAACCACACAAGTTTAGTCAAGATTGTTTCAGCAGTGTCAAAGATATGCTCCGCAGAAACACACAAACCAACAGAATGACCTCTTGGCAATAGGGTAAATTTTCCGCTGCACCATTTCAGTAGAGGAGAGCCGAAAAAAGCTCCCCTTAATGAACAAATTGAAAAAATCGCTCCCCTAAAAAAGCTCTCTAAGTTTCGATAAGAAGAGTGATTTAGAAATTAAGGAGAATGATCTGATATTAAAGAGAGTGATTAGTTGTTTGTATGGGAAATGGTTCTGAAGATCAATAACTGCGTGTAAGGGGTCATTCTTGGTTACATAAAAATGATAATAAACATCGTCTGCAAAATAATAGCACTCGTAGTCGTATGGTCAAGTCAAACTTCTACTGTCGTCTATAACTACAGTACATACTGTATTCCAATAGAAATACTTGTCGACATTTCTGCTTGTATAAATTTTGTTTAAAAACATAACCCCTATTCAAAATATAATCATAAACGCTTGAAAATTCCATCAAAATATAATATATTTCTTCCGGAATTATTCTCATTGGGAATTTTCATGTGCCATCTCTCATAATTTCTCAGGTCTCGCGAGAGTTCTACTTTTCATTTCAGTTAAATTAACCAATGGTGCATAGGCGCCATCTATTTTTAGCAACATATTCATCAGAATTTTTTTACCTTGTGCGATAACATTATACTAATCAAATACACCAAATAAATGTTCACAATGACAGCATGGTTGCGCCCGGAATGTGAGTCTTTCACACTCTTTTGAAAAAAAAAAAACAAATACATGTCCATGATTTACAAATATGGAGAGCGATTATTAATTTTAAGGCAAAGGAGAAAAACCTCCCCTCGGTCGACATTCGGGTGCGCGGCAGGCGCTTGAGAGCGATTGCGCGCCTCAAAAAACAATGACTGCCATTTAACCAGAAGTTGTAATCAGATTATAGACAATAGAATGCTAGTATTTAATTCACCAAATGAGACAGATCTGATATTGTTATAGTTAAATCTGTGCTATAAAACGGTTGTACATGTAGTCATTGGAGCCAAGCATCAACCTTATAGTGAAATCCTTGTATATTACTTTTTATACGCCCACATTGAAATGTGGTCGTATATTGTTGTCGCCCCCGTCCGTCCATCGGTCCGGCGTCCACAATTGCTTGTGGAGGCTCCATAGGCTAAAGTTAATATCCGATTGACTTTAAATTTATACACAGTGTTTAAGGTCATGAGACGAAGAATCCTATTGATTTTCAGCTATTTCCGATAATTTTTGACAGAGTTATGGCGCTTGTTCACTTTGAAAAATCTTGTGGACGCTCAAGGGGCTAAAGTTAATATCCGATTGACTTTAAATTTATACACAATGTTCAAGATCTTGAGACGAACAAGTATATTGATCTTCAATGAATTTTTATGACTTGAACAGCTAAATCCATGATGTTAAAAGTTTCGTATACTAAATGTTAGCATGGGGCAGAACTTTATAAAAACCCCAAAAATTCTAATGGTTTTCTGATAATTACTCAATTACTTATGTATTATAAATGTTTCATTACCAAAAAAAGTAAAAATATGCGACTCTTGTTGACTGCCCGGACGATATAGCTGCTGTGGGCGTATGTTTCGTTGCCTGGCAACCTATCTTTTTTAAGGTCAATTTTTAGCTTTCATTTCAGAACAGATTGCACCATTTAAAATTTAATTAATTGTACTTTGTTAGGATACATTTTCTGTAGCAATTTTAAAGATACTGCCTCTGTAGCTAACATGTCATTTACACAGATGTTTGATTGGATGAGCAAAACTTTTGCACAGGCCAATTACAATCTGTAAACATTAACTGCCAATCTGCTGGTTGACAAAATGCAACTTACTGTGTCATTGACTTTAGAGAATCAATTTTAGACTATAGTTTCATTTTTCAAGGATATTAGAGATGTATTAATTGTGTGCTTACTGATCAATTTGAGTATATAAAATATATTTTTTAGGGTCATACTACCAATTAAGAATATTACTTTATGTGATAGTTTGATACATCTGTTGTTCTATTTGTAGAGGTTTAAAGTCGGTCAGTGATAGAGAGGTAAAGTCTCTGTATAATGGAACACATGTATCATTAGATAATATGAACACATTTTATGGTCAGGGTCCAATGCATCAACTTGTTGATTTATTCGCTTTACCAGAAGTTGCTTTAATATCTAATATAACAGAGGTATTATCATTTATTTGACTAAATCAGAAAAAACTCATAACCTTGCAAAAATATACATTTAAGAATCTCTGCACAACAGCAGCGCAGTATAGTTTTTTTTAATGATATAGCGTTTCGGGTTGTAGTACACTTTTTATACGCCCACATTTTCATATGGACGTATATTGTCGTCGCCCCTGTCCGTCCACAATTTGTTTGTGGACACTCTACAGGTCACAATTCTTATCCGATTTTGACGAAACTTGAAATATAGGTTTATCTACAAAAGATCTCGGTTGCTTTCGATATTGGCAGGCATGTATCCTATCGAAACTTCATGGTTTATGGCCCCTGTTTGTACGAAAAATCACGTTTTTAGCTTGTTGACCCTATAGAGGTCACAAATTTTATCCGATTTTGTTGAAACTTGAAATGTAAGTTTATAACCCAAAGATCTTGGTTCCTTTCTATATTTGTGCATATCGTATTGTAATTTGATTGTAGGAAAAATCACTTTCTTTTTAGCTTGTTCTCTATCCATCTCTCGAAAATGTGGGCGTATCCTGTCAGGCAGCCGTTGTTCAAATAACATAATAATCCTATGGCACCTTATATACAACAAATGTGGTGGCGCAACAGGAAAATTGGTTCTATTATTTAAAAAAAGCCGCTGTCCGGGCAAAATTTCCCTCATAGCACACTGTATGGCATATGCCCGTCTTCATTAGCCCAGTTCGGAGCAAAACAGTAGGACGTTAAACCCCATTTCATTTCATTTATTTAAAAAAAAAATCATTAGATATTGTTTTAGATGACACAGTTAAAATATACAACAAATGTGGTGGTGCAACAGGAAAATTGGTTCTATTATTTAAAAAAAAAATCATTAGATATTGTTTTAGATGACACAGTTAAAATTGTGATTGATTATCTCCAGAGTTGTGGTGGCAGCAGTAACTTCTTCCAGGCTTGTGTAAGTTGCAGATTTGGTAGGGTCTTCTTGGGGTGGTGATTCTAGCGGATAAACTGTTATTGTCTTATCTTCACATATCATTTCATGTTTGTATCCATTAATGTAGACAAATCTTGGTGGACATTTTGTTGATAGATGTTTCTTTTTCATGTGGACGTATTTTGTCGTCGCCCCTGTCCGTCTGTCCAGACGTCCGTCCGTCCACAATTGTTTGTGAACACTCTACAGGTCACAATTCTTATCCGATTTTAACGAAACTTGAAATATAGGATTATCTCCCCAAGATCTCGGTTCCTTTAGATATCGGCATGTATCGGACCGTAACTTCATGGATTATGGCCCCTGATTGTACGGAAAATCGCGTTTTTAGCTTGTGAACACTGTAGAGGTCACAATTTTTATCCGATTAAATGGTTTAAACTTGGAATGTATGTTTATAACCCACAGATCTCGGTTCCTGTCGATATTCGCGTATATCAGACCATAACTTACTGAATTATGGCCCCTGATTGTACGAAAAATCGCTTTTTAGCTTGTGGACCCCACAGAGGTCACAATTTTTATCCAATTTAACAAAAACGTGTGAATATATCACCGTTACACCCTAAGGATGGTTGAGTTTGAATTTCGTAAAAATCAGACCAAAGCTGATGGACAAAATGGCCGCCCCTCGTTCGCAAATAGTGTCAAAATATTGTGTATCAAGGTTGTGGACCCTTTGGAGGTCACAATTGTCATCTGATTTTGATGAAATTTGAAATGCATGTTTATAACCCAAATATATTTGTTCCTTTCTATTTTCGTGCATATCGAATCGTAACTTCCCGAATTATGGCCCCTGATTTTACGAAAAATTGCATTTTTAGCTTGTGGTCCCTCTAGAGGTCACAATTTTTATCCGATTAAAGAAAGTTTGAATATATCACCGTTATACCCTAAGGATGGTTGAGTTTGAATTTCGTTAAAATCGGACTGAAACTGACGGACAAAATGGCCGCCCCTCATTCGCAAATAGTGTCAAAATATTGTGTATCTAGGTTGTGGACCCTTTGGGGGTCACAATTGTCATCTGATTTTGATAAAATTTGAAACGCATGTTTATAACCCAAATATCTTTGTTCCTTTCTATTTTCGTGCATATCGAATCGTAACTTCCCGAATTATGGCCCCTGATTTTACGAAAAATTGCGTTTTTAGCACAATTATTATCAGATTTAATAAAGCGTTCAAATATATCACCGTTACACCGTAATTTTTTCTGAGATTGAGTTTCATGAAAATCGGACCAGATTCAACTACATTCAAATTGGAACCCTGAGTCTTTAAGAGAAGAAGAAGAAGAATTGCCAGACAAAATGGCCACCCCTCATACGCAAATAATGTAAACATCTGGTATATCAAAGTTGTGGACCCTCTAGAGGCCACAATTTTGATCCGATTTTGATGAAACTTGAAATGCAAGTTTATAACCCAAAGATCTTGGTTCCTTTCAATATTAGCGCATATCAGATCGTAGCTTCCTGAATTAATTATGACCTCTGGTTGTACGAAAAATCACGTTTCTAGCTTGTGGTCCCTCTAGAGGTCACAATTATTATTCGATTTAAAAAAAATCACAATTTTGATCTGATTTCAATGAAACTCGAAAAACATGTTTATAACCCAAAGATATTGGTTCCTGTCGGTATTCACGCATATCGGATCGTAACTTCCTGAATTATGGCCACAATTTTTATCCGATTTAAAAAAATGTGTGAATATATTCCTTTTGATAATCGCAGATACCCCAACTTAACCTCCTAGATTATGGCCCTTGATTGTTCGAAAAATCGCATTTTTAGCTTGCTGATTCTGTAGAGGTCACAATTTTTTTCTGATTTTAAAAACCGTTTAAATACATCACCATTCCACCATAATGAAGATTAAGTCGTATTTCGGGAAAATCGAAATGAAACTGCCCGACAAAATGGCCGCTCTTTGTATGCAAATTGTGTAGAAGTGTGTAATACGAAGGTTGTGCACCCTCTAGAGGTCACAATTTTTATCCGATTTTGATGAAACTTAAAACATATCTTTACATCCCAAAGATCTCAGTCGCTTTTGATATTTGCACATTTCAGGCCATAACTATCTGAATTTTTGCCCCTGATTGTTCAAAAAATCGTTTTTATCTTGTTTTCTATCCATCTGTTGCAAAATATGGGCATATCCTGCCTGGCAGCCGCTGGTTAGTTTCTGGTATAGTTATTCCTGACCTCTTTGTTTCGCAAATGAGACCGGATCTACCGTGCTTCTTAATGGTGGGGGGGGGGTGGATGGCTGAATGGTTAGCGTGCGCGCGCTGTATCATAAAGTCTGTCATTGAGTCGACTGGCGTGGTTTCGAATCCCCGGTTGTACGTGGCAAGGAGTAGGGTCGCCTGTCCAACCTCGTGGGTTTTCTCCGGGTCCTCCGGTTTCCTCCCACTGCTAAAGATCCCTACGCGCAAGCGAATTATGTAAATAAAATTAAACCATATGTTACTCCCGAAATGACCTAGTTTGTGTCGAGTGGACGTTAAACCCCATTTCTCTCTCTCTCTCTTAATGGTGGCGACAGGGTGGATACTTCATATATTTATTTTTGTCCCCCGCCTTTCGAAGAAAGCAGGGAACTATTAAAATGGGTTCGTCTGTCTGTCATCCGTCCGTCTGTCAGTCTGTCACACTTTTTGTGACCCAATAACTCTCCTTCTTAGTAATTGAGCTAGAATGTTCAAACTTGGTGTAGGTGTTTATTAGGTCAATGCCTTGACGTAGTTCGAAGATAAGCATTTTCTGCTTAGGGTAAGCAGAGATGAGCAATTTGATTGGTTGATGCTTTGGTTCTAATTAAGTGAGAGTGATGAGATTGGGTGTATAGTTTTATTACATCAATACCTTGACTAAGTTCGATAATGAGCATTCTCTGCTGAGGGTAAGCAGAGCGATAAGCACTTTGATTGGCCGAGACTTTGGAACTCAATAACTCTCCTAATTGAGCTAGAATGTTCAAACTTGGTGCAGAAGTTTATTAGGCCAATGACTTGGTGGGGTTTGAAGATGAGCATTTTCCGCTTAGCTTAAGCAGAGATTGACTAAGTTTGATGATGATGATTTTTGCTTAGGCCAAGGAGCGATTACAATTTGATTGGTCAAGACTTTGGAACGTAACAACTCACTTTTAATTGAGGTAGAATGTTTAAACTTGATGTAGATGTTCATTAGGTGAATGTATTGACTGAGTTCAATGATTAACATTTCAAGCTAAAGCTAAGCTGAGCTAAGCAATTTCATAGGTCGATGCTTTGGGACAAGATAATTTGATTCTATCTGATAGAGAATGATGAAACTTAGTGTATAGTTGATAATCAGTTTGATTGCTTGATACTTTTGAAAAAAATAAATGTTCGATTAATTAATATGTGTCATCTATTTGTTTTGGGATTTCGGCGGGGGACATCAGTCTCACTGTTGGCTTGTTCCACAAGCATTGCTGAAACTTTTATTGCAGAAGGGACAAGTGAACATCTTGACTAATTCTGTTCAATTGAGCCTCCATGATCCATTCTTCATGATGTAATCTGACATTGGTATCTCTTGACGTTGTGGTGACGATTTGAACGTGGAAATTATGCCAAGAAAGTTCATCCAGATTTTCCGGCATGGTTCCCCTTGACAGTGATGCAGGATGGAGGGCATGTCAAGGACAGCTGTCTAGTCGTTCAGATGGGACGAAAAACTGAGGTCCGTGTACAAATTGGCGTGCGCGTAGAAGATCCCTTGGCAGTTGGAATTCGATATAAGAGTAGGCCGTAGCGCCGCTGTCCGGGCAAAATTTCCCTCATAGCACACTGTATGGCGTATGCCCGTCTTCATTAGCCCAGTTTAGGAGCAAAACAGTAGGATGTTAAACTCCATTTCATTTCATTTCATTTCCTAATATCAATTAGTATGTCCATATAACTGAACTTTCAGTGAATTGCTTGTTTGGCCTACATATTATAAATTGCAGTTGTTGCACGTAATTA